TTGACATTTAAATAATAAAATAAAAATAAAAATTATCTTCAATTGTGGTTGTCACTTGAATGCAATTTTCATTTCACAGGTTGGCGGTGCTACTGTGTTCATACTGAGTCTTTGGACGTTGGTCGATCGTAGTTTCATAAATGAATTATTGGGCACAAATCTCTTCTCAGGTGCAGTGTACGTTTTACTCGTTACTTCGATTGTGATTTGCTTGCTGGCGTTTTTGGGTTGCGTTGGCGCTGGCAAAGAGGTCAAGTGTCTTTTGTTAACAGTAAGTAGTAGCAAAGTTAAAGATTAATAATTCCAAAAGAAAAAAAAATGAATTGTTTTGTAAACAAAACATCTTATTTTGTTAGTATTTCATAATAGTAGCACTGGTATTTGTAACAATGTTAATTGGCGGCATACTTGGCTATGTGTTCCGTGAAAGAGTGCAGCAGACAATGCGACAGGTAAATACACAAAAAAAAACCCAAAATCATAACCAAAATACTTAAATTTTATTACAAACTTAGGAAATGCGCTCTACGATGGCACTCTATGGAAGCCGTCGTGATATAACACAAGCGTGGGATCAGACACAGGAACGTCTACAGTGCTGCGGTGTTGATACGTGGCATGACTGGAATCGTTATGGTCCCATACCAGAATCATGTTGTCAGGAAATATTTGCTGGACAACGCAGAGAGTGCACCATCTTTCCCAGCGTAACAAATCTCTACAATCAAGGCTGCCTATATGTTGCAACAAACTTTATTAGAGATCATGCTTCGGTTATTGGAGGGACAGCCATTGGTGTGGCAATTATAATGGTAAACACTAATTGTATTATAGAATATATATTTATAATAATTAATATATATTAATTTTTGAAATTACAGATATTTGGCATGATATTCTCGTGTTTGCTGTTTAATATGATTGAGTAGCATTAGTTTTTTTTTGTAATTATTATTGAATTTTGGTATATGAACTTTTAGTGCATATACTTAAATATCTGAAACGTACTTTCGTTAAAACCTCACACTATCAACACATAATCAAACGATCGACTCGATAACATTATTCGTACAAATTAAATTAGAATTAAGTCAAAAATTTTAATTTCACAGTGCAATTTTGCTTTTATATTTGTTAAACTAATATTTTATGTTAAAATTAATTCGATAGTTGGTAATTAAAGAACTGCAATTCGAAATGCACTTAAAAGTATTATATTCGTATGTATATAAAGGTAAAATTTAAATCATAATAGTAAATTAAGTTAAATTATAAACAAATGTAAAATTATTATAAAAAGTTGTAATTAATAAATGGTTATTTTATAATAATTGTTCAGAAAATATTTATTTGACTTTTTGAAAATTTTGTTTTGCGACAATGGTTTTAATTGAAAATATTAAAAATTATAGTAAAGTAAGATACCATAATCGAATTTATACACACCATAATCAAAACGGCATTTAAGCTCTTTCCAAACGGAGCACTCTTTCCTCATTCCACTCCATCTAACCTAACCTAAGATATCGCACAAACTTAGATTGCTAAGCAGATATATTTAAATGTGAACCATCGAAATTGAGATTAATTAAAACAAATAAATGAATTAGTCTTTGAAATTTATATCGTTAAACTAGTCAAGATTGTTACTATGTTATAAAAGTACCGGGAATCAGTCAGTAAAATTAAAAATATATACATATTATTCATCAAAATTCATTGTATCATCTTTAAAGTAGGTTGTTCCGAAATAATACATTTACGGTAACAAATAATACAATAACTAAAACAGTTTTTAAATACATTTTAATAAGTCAATTAATCAAATAAGTCATTTTAATAAATAAGTCAATTTTTATTATATATGCTCTTTAGAAAATTTTACTGAGAAATTGGATTTAATTGGAACATTTTACTTCCGTTTAATATCTCTTGCTATCAGTCTGTATAGTTCTTACTTATAAGTATCTTAGTATATGTAAATATCTGATAGATGTATTAGATATAAAAATCAAATCAATAGTGGTATCAGATTGGTTTGTTAAAACGGTATAATTTGAAAATTGATCAAAATTTGATAGAGTTTGGTCAAGTAGGAATCATGTGTAAAATAGAAATGCACGAATACATAAACATAGAGAACAAAACACATCTACGTAAGATAATACGTACTTAGTTGGCCTTTATAAGGGTGTGTCGTCCTTAACAGTTTGTAGAAAATAGTAAAACCCTACTTATATATTATGCAAAGAATAAATACAAAAACAAACCAACTATAGTTGCGGAATTTAAGCATGAACAATATTAGATCTTACTTCCTAACCGATAAATGGTCTTACTAACTATCAAAAAATGCTTCCTTAAAAACCTGTTGTTTAATCTTGTCTCTTTCTTGTAAGTTTTCACAACCTCTACAGTTAATGTTATAGGTATAATGTGTTTTGATTGATTTCTAAACACCAAGGATCAGTGAGAAGAGAGAAAGAGAGAGAGAAAGTGAGAGAGAGAAAGAGAGAGAGAAAAAGAGAGAAAAAGTGAAAGAGACAAAAAAGGTGCTGTAGTAAGACTTTCACAGTATTCCCTTTTAATGAGTTCTTGATATTTGGTCTTAATATAAAAGGCCTAGATTAACCAGGAAGTTGCAGATGATTTCAGTGTCTTTTATTTATCATTAGCATGTTGGAGAATATAGATGTAAGTGCTTATCTCAATAATCTTCAAGGGAACTTAATATAGTATCTATAAGGACACATCCACTGAAGTAGAAAGGTAGGCGAACCTTCTGTTTTTTAATTTGCTACCAACTATTATCCTTGTAGCAATAAATAATTTGTTTTTCAAAAAAGAGTTTAATTTAATAATTTTACGGCAGAAAGGCAACGTAAAAGAAAATTACCGAGTAGAGACACAAAAAAATGCTGAGTGGTTGTTTTGTAATTTATTTATAGTTTTGTAAATGAAAACGTATATATGTTTTCTATGTATATAGTATCTGTTTTCATAAATTTTTATGTACGTATATACATATGTTTATATATATATATATTCTCAGATAATTTCTAAGTTCCTACGGGTTATCTCAGTGATAATCTTTATTTATTTTTTATTTTCCAAAACAAATAAAATAAATAAATTATTCGTAACAATATTAAAAATCTCAGAATCGTGCAAATATTCTATATATATTTACACAATTTATTTAAAAAAAATGTAAATATTATAAAAAAAAGTATTAGAAGTAAAGGAGTGGTTATATTTGTGCTTTCATATGACTAAGTCATATTTTTTAAATTAAAATTAAATTAAATTTTTTTAATTTTATATGAAAAACTTTTTAATTTTTAATATAAAATTTCTAATTTTATATTAGAAATTTTTTAATTATTTTTAATATTAAAATATATATCGATTATATATAATTTTGAAACATTGAATATATAGAAAAAATATATATGGAAAAAGACTTACCCCATATATTGTTGTTTTATGACAGTACTTAAGTAGCTGTTGATCGTTACTTATACTTCACATAAATTTTAAAAATTTGTCTTGTATTTAATTTTCCCATTTAAATCACATTTTTATATATTATTACAAAGCCTCAAATATTATTTTTAATTTTAATTGCACAAAATATTATATTTATTTATCACTCTACTGAAATAACAAGTACGTATGTATGTTCATTGTTTACATTCTTTATTGTTCATTTCTCTATTTTCATTATATCATAACCTCAATCATATTATATTAAGTATAATAATATTTTTTGTAATATAATATCAAAATTTAAATAAATGATATATTTTCAAATACTTCCTCTTAATTTCTTATTTAGCTGTTCTTATTAATTTTTGTGTAATATTAATTTTGTTTTCCGAAATCTTAGATTTTGTAATTTATCATTATTCGTTGCTTAATTAATAATTCTTATTTAACTTTCTTAAATCTTTTTAATAATAAATTTAAAATTATAAATAGAAAATTTACTATTTTTAATATTAAATTGTAATAATAATAATTTTTTTTATATTTTATTATATTATTTTATTATACACTATGTAAGAGTAAATGTATCGTTTTTCATAACATAACTGCAAAAACAATGAAGGCATTCTTAGGTGCACTAAAACTTAAATTTAAGGTGATTTTTAATACATTATCTGTCATTTACTTTTAAAAATTAATTTAATTACTTCAAATACTCGTTTGTGAGTTCATATGCACATTAATATATATTTTTTTCTTTTTAAATACCATTTTTTTGTTTATTTTAAAAAACGCAAAGCAGTTCTATTTTATAATTTCAAGCAATTAATTTCTAAACCAAACATTTTTTGCTGAGGCATGTGAACGAACCAAATCCCGTTTTAGATACGTCACTTGTTATCATTCGAAGAAATTAAAAAACCACGCATTTGCCACACTGTAGATTTCTTTCAAAAAACCATATTTAGCTTTTAACTTAAAAGCTCTTGATCATAGCTTCCAGCTTTTAAGTTCACCACAGTAATTTTTTTCCGCATTTATTTCTTAAAGTGCACATAAACAAAGTTTTTTTTCCATTCATTTGCATTAAGCACTTAAACCGCTATTTTGAAATATTTGTTGATTTTTTCTTTATTATTTTTGAAAAAGAAAACTTTTCACTTAAAAAATTATTTAATTAAATATTATGATTTAATAAATTAATTAATATGCATTTATTAAAACCATTGAAACAAAACGATAAAAATTTCATCAATTACAAGCACATTACAATAATTGTTTACCGCACTGACGTCAATGATTTACTATTGATACTTATTGAATGAATGCAATGAGTGAGAAGCCAAACAGGACAGCAGCACCCCGCGATCACCCCAAGCCGTTATAGAAACGTGTTAGCATAAAAATACGCAGTGCCATAAATGTAGCAAAAAAAGAGAGCAAAGCATAATTCTAATTCATGTGTTTATTTGCAAATCAAACTGTGAAACGGTGAATTAATTTTGTTATTGTAATTTATTCATTTCTTTAATGCTCAATGGTTGGAATTCTTTGAATGATTTTTCGATTTAGTGTAAAATCTTAATGGTGAGTAAAAAGTTGTCGGAAATGTAATGCGTGAAATTAATGCTTAAAAATATTAATTGTTTCTCATAATGAATGAAAAATATTTTAATAAAAATATAATAGAAATGTGTGTTAATTCCAAATTGTTTTTCAAACATATTTTAAATGCTTTTTGTAAATGGTTAATAAATTTAAATACGGTTTTTTGTTTTTAATTGAAACGCTATGACACAGACTTCAACAACAACAACAAAAACAATTCGTTACTTAACACTATAAAAAAAGTTTAACTCCGTTAAGTGTTTTTAGTGAATACAAAGTACCAAAATAAATATTAGTGAAATTATATAAAAATGAAGTGATAGTTGACAACGCAATGGTAAGTGCTTTTTAAATATTTTATTTATTTATTTGTAAGTTAACACTAAAATGAATTTTAAAGTTAACCAAGAATAAGGAACTGGACTACTACGTCCATCGCCCCATTCTTCTTAAATAAATTTTACTACATATAATTTAAAACAACTATGTTTTCAATATTTACACGAATAAAACCCACGAAATATTAGATAAGTTTGAAATGATATAAGCTTTTTGCTATAAGCTTATAATTTAGTTTAATTATATATTAAGTTATTACGTATTATAATGAATGACTTATAACAAATACCATCCCCTCTATTCTTTGTACTTATTTGTCAATTAGTCAAGATTGACATTTTGTCAGGGTTTTGGTATTTTGCGCTATAAATAAATTGTCAAGTCGTCAAATACTCTTGAAAAATAAAATGCTTTTGTATTGTTTGAACAAAATTGTTTTATGTATGCATAATAAAACTCTAAACAGCATAATTATTGAATTTATGAATATTTATTAAAGTATTATAAAAATATAACTATAGTTTTGAGTTATAAATAAAATTCTAAATAGCATAAAATAATAAGGTATGATTGAATATAATAATTAATCCATACACTACTTTTGAATTTTATTTTTTTATTTCAACTGAGTAGCGTGGTGAAAAACACTAGATACTTGAGCTTTGAAATTTATCAAAATTTGTACAGAATAAAAAAATGGTTTTTGCTTGATAAAAATCCTAATTAATTGTCAATACATGATAAATTTATCAAGTTAACAGAATAGGGAGAAATATTTGCTGAT